CTTTTCTCTAACTCTGCCTGTCTCTGCATGCCTTTGAGAAGAGATACGAATGGGGAAACTGAGGCTCCAAGAGCAGAACCAACTAGCCTGAGGTCAGGCCCTTGAGAGGAGGTGAACCCAAATGAGGACGCTGATCTCCTGAGGACAGTTCTGTGCATTCCTCCTGATCTGGGGTGTTTGTACATTCTACACCGGAAACTGGGGCTCAGGATCTAGGATGGACCGTTCAAAAAAATCTGCCTGCCAGCACACTCTACCTGCTGAGCGTCAAAAAGCCCAACGGAAACTGGCTTGAGTGAAAGAATGTAATCACTTCTGAGCTCACCTAACTGAAACTCCAGGTGAATCCTGCTCGGGCTCATCAGATGTGGGTGCTTTGACAATGACATCAGGATTCTATCCGGGTCTTGCTCTTGCTGTCCTCTGTCCGCGTCACACTCAGAGGAGTTTTCTCCATGTGGTGCCCCAGCAGCTTAGCAAGTGTGGCAGAAACAGTGCATCCATTGCCCCAGGGTTCTAGTAAATACTTCAGGATTCACTCTGATTGGCCTGAATTAGGTCATGTGACTATCCCTGACCCTGTAGCTCTAGTTGGCCAAGACCGAGTCATGTACCTGTTGAAGTAGATGGGGGGCATTCTGCACTGTGAGACGATGGTGCCATTATGAGAAGATGTATGTTGCAACTTAATTGTTCATTAAAATGACATGAGTGATTTCCTTGCTGGATTGGACAACAGTTTTCAAATACTAGAAAAATATTTCCTCAATTTTTTATTGTGATATTCATAGTGTAATGATTACACATTTTAGGTTTAATGTGTATTATCAACATCAGTGCATCAGTCTCTTAAGTCTAGACAATCAGCAAACAATAAATCAAGCCCTGCCTTTCAGTGTCTACCAATTTAGAAAGTGTAAATACTGCCTAATCTCAAGCTACCAATGTGATGGCACTGAAGGCAGAGTTGGGAAGAGGTGCACAGTGATATATTATCATATAATATTTTCATCAGATACAGCAGAGTAAACAATCTCAAGAGCATAGATCAAGGGTTGGTAAATAATGGCCGGTGGGCCAAACTGGGCCCAAGGCTTGTCTTTGAACAGCCTAATTTACATTTATGCCATCCTGAACAAGCCCGATCCTGTCTGATTTCGGAAGCTAAGCAGGGTCGGGCCTGGTTAGTACTTGGATGGGAGATCATCTAGGAAGACCGGGTGCTATAGGCGTAAAAAATAAAAAAAAAATAAGGGATTGTAAGCTGACAAGGTCCTTGCAATCTGTGAGGTCAACCAAGGGGTTGCCTCACCTAAAAAAAAAAAAAATGAACAGCCTAAGAATGGTTCTACATTTTTTAAGGGTCCTCAAAAATATAAATAAAAAAATAGAAGAATATACAACAGAGACCATATGTGGCTTTCATCCTGTTCATTAATGAAACAAAAATGTGAACCTGCATTCATCACATTGGAACTACATTGATTCATCAATTGCAAACCATAGATTGGTTATAGACACGTCAGTTCAGCAAAAATCAATGAAAGCATTCTGTGAAAATCAGTAGACTCTCTAGGGACGATATCAGGTACAATGAAGAGTATTGCATATTTTATTATTTTTTCCAAATTGCATACTACGAACCCTCTATATAGCATTATAATTTATAGTACATTTTTGTGCTCATGTGAATAAACGCATTTTTTTTCCCTTGGAGAACTGGTTATTTAACATTCACCAGCATTCCCCTGAAGTTACAGCATTTCGTGATAGGAAGATTTAATGCTCCAAAGATGTCTGCTCTCACACTCTCTCTGCCCTTTGAGGACACAATGAGAAGGCGGCTGCCTGTAAACCGGGAAGAGAGACCTCACCAGAGCCCGATTATATAAAGTGATTTTTTAAAAAGAAAGAATCCACAAGGACAGAGGTGTGTTAAAGGGACACAGGAGTCAACTGAAAGAGCTCCTACTGGCCAAAGCTGGAACGATTTGAGCATCGAAATAAATTAAATAGTATCGGATCATAACCCAAAGTATAAAACAAATATCCATGAATTCATGCCGATGTAAATAAATAACCGAATCAATAAATAAACGGAGAAGAAATACATTTCCTTGGAGAAGAATTCCAAATGATTTGTGTAGACTTTTGCCCTCAAGGAGCATAACTTCCCTTTCCTTAAGTACAAGGTAATTTCCTTCCAAAGAGTAAAGCATGGAAAAGGGGGCAAAAAAGAGTCAACTTACAGTGGAGATACCTGGCAAACACTACCTCGCCCAGGTGGTCAAGGTCAACATCAACAGTGATAAGTCATGTGGATAGCATTATACTTTTGATACAGTATAATGAGGAACTCTGTGGTTGTCCTCCCCAAAACTCGTAACCCCAAATGTACTGATGAGAAAAGCATCAGACAAATTCCAACAGAGGAGCATCCTACGATACACTGGACCAGTACTCCTCAAAACTGTCAAGGTCATCGAAAACCAGCAACATCTGAGAGATTGTCCCAGCCAAGAGTTTGAGGTTGTAATGTGGTAACTTGGATGTGATCCTGGAATAGAAAAAGGACATTAGGTAAAAATTAAGGAAATCTGAATAAGATATGGACCCACAGAGCTACGAGGAGCCTCTTTGAATCCCTGACAGGAAAGTGACTTTCCCAGGCCTGAGAGTGGCAGGCCCCAAGGGCAGGAAACACCTACCAACCTGAAGAAATCCTCATCCAGGTGTGTGTCTCACAGGCCCCATACTGCTCTGCCCTCAGAGCCTCAGGCCCTGGGCGTGGTCCTGAGATGCAGGGCGACCTCTGGAATCCCAGCGGCTGCTTCTCACCTGAGTGTGCCCTGCTGGCCTGGAGGTAAAAACCAGCCAACTTTACAATATTCCCCAACCCCCTCCCCCTAAATAGTTGGGTCTGTAGAGGGAGGGAGGGAGGCCACCGTGGAGGAGGGAAGGGCCCAAGCAGGAGCTGGGTTCGGCATATATCCAGCTTCTTCGGGTCCCGAGAAGACCCAGAGCTACTGTTGTTCTCACAGAAACAGATCTATAGCCGGGGCTAACCGTTGTCGTGACTACCACTTACGGTGGATTCTTTGCTGTCCCCATGATATAGTTCTAGGTATAGCACGAGGTCCAGGTGCTCTTTGTTCCTGCCACCTGCGCCTTGAATGTACACTTCTCAGGAGAGAGGATCTGACTGATTCAGTGTCATCCGCACTTAGGGTCTACTTTGAGCAAGGCTGTTACCCCAGCTTTCCCCCCGCCCCCCAGAAGAGCTAGCCTGTCATGTTTCCAGCCCACTCAGCAAAGGGATTGTATCTTATCGATATGTTATCTTCTCTCTTTGTGCCCAGCACAATGATTTACATACAGTAGAGATCCAGTATGTGCTCAAATCAAGCAGAGGGCATTTATGAATCACCTACTGATTGCGAGGCACTGTGCCTGGATGGAAGTAGCACTTGCTAAGCACTTATTATGTGTCGGAGACTGTGCTAGACACATTTAACCTATGGGGTAGGCGCTATTATTGTACCCACTTTCCAGATGAGAAATATCAGGCACAGACAAGACACACAACTTACTTAAGTGGTTCCAGCCGAGCAGACTGGCTCCAGAGATGATGCATTTGACTGCTTCCCAATTAAACAAGGTATTAACTTCTGAAATTATATAAGGCATTCTGATGCAGCCACATCAAATTAGAAACACACTATTATAAATTAATCTCTCCAACAGACATCATAACGGGCACGCCCCAGCCACCCCTTGGGAAGATGGGGCTCAGGGACAGAACGAGGCTGCCACTTCACACTCGACTTGCAAAATACAAAGCCGCAGTGGGATGACTGTGCTTGCCAGGCACATCGCCAAGTCCCCTTCCCCAGAGAGGTCTGGCAGCTGTAGTTCCCTAAGGGAACCACATTTGTTTGTGAAAGACACATTCATGACCTTGCCACCAGGACTCCCAGACCAAACGGAGCAGTGCCACATCGCAGACCCCACGAGGTCCATGCCAGGCTCTCTCACCAAGGCTGCTGGGACACCAGCCCACCCACAGTGGGATGGTGTTTTCACAGCGTGAGCCCCCAAGGAGGCTTGGATCGGCCTCTCCACCTGGTTTGTTCTCTGCGAGGCCACTTGCCACATCCCATATGGCAAGGTCTGCCCATTTCTCCCTCCACAGACAGGAAATGGGTCCCTCCAGGTTCCCTGGGCCACCAGAGTGGACAGCCACTTGTTAGGGGTATTGGCTTCAAACACCAGCTGGGGTGGAAATACTTCTCGGCAGAAGCTCATTGCGTTTCACTAAATGATTATGTGTGACAGTGGGTTGCAACCTTGGGTACTTGTTAAAATACAAGTCCGCTGGCCCATCTTAGACCTAAGAAATCAAATTGGGGGCTGGGAAGGGAAGTAGGGAGGCGGCCTGGCCCTCTCATCACCTCCAGATGATTCAGCGTGGACGACTCCCCTCACACTAGCCCGGACGTGCTCGCCTTCTATTTCCTGAACACGCTAAGCTCTTTCCCGCCTCGGGGCCTTTACTCCAACTGTCCCCTGACAGGACTGCTGCTCAGGCGTCAGTGCCAAGGTCTCCTCAGACAGGCTCACTCCAAGAGCATTCTCAGCCACGGCCATTTTGTTTCTTCCATCCGCTAATTATCTGTCCGTGAGCTCCAGGCCACCTCACCACTGAGAACCCAGTGCCTGTGTATAGAGTATGTGTGCCACAGTGGCTACCAAATGAATGTGACACGCAGTGACACGGATATGCAAAAAAGGCAGGGACCAGTTTGCTCTAGAAGGTGGTAGAGGAAATACTCTGCCACAGCTCACCCAGAAGAGCCGAGGCCAAGCCAGATCGCGGAAAACATTTCACCTCGCCCCCACTTCCTGTGCCAACTCCCCCTTCTATTTCCCCAAACAGGGGCTCCCCTACGGCCCAACAAGAACCGAGTTCCATATCCCCAAAACACCATGAGGAACGTGGAGCTGGAAGAGTCTAGATGTTTATTGTCATTCAAATATTTCATACAAAAAGGAATACAGAAATCGGTTCAGGGTTTATGAAAAAATTTAAAAATGCAGGTTTGAACACGGTGCTCTATTTACATCTGGGAGCAGGCTCTTCTTGATGTCACGCACAGCAGCTGCACTTGTCCGATGCTCCTTTGCAGATGCAGCCCTGGGCACACCGAGCACAGCCCACGGGGCAGCAGGAGCAGCAGCCTGAGGACAAAGGACAGCAAGAAGTCAGAGTGGACATTACAGGAACTACCCTTCTCAACAGCAGGCCTGGCAAAAACTGCCCCCCACGCACAACCCCAAACAAGGAAGACTTGAGTTTGGAATGGCACGTGCAGTCCTGAGACAATTATTACAGAACTTTAGAATAGGTCCCACCCACTAGGGAAAGGCCACCCTGCCCTGAGTCCAGACAGGGCAGAAAGCCTGGAGAGGCAGTGACAGGGCCTCCGGGGACAATGGAAGTTACGCTTCCCCACCTGCCCCCCCAACGATGCAATGAAGTGAAGAAAGGCCTCAAGATCAGAGAGGGGCAAACACCTGCCACAGCAGCGCGGGGCGGGGGCCGGGGAGGGGTGCAGGGAAGCTCTGAGCTGCCTCTATAGGAGAGGGTTTCACCAGCAGGTCAGGGAAACCACACATGGTCACCAAGTTCAGGTGCATGAAGTGCTCAGGACACTAGAGGGTTCAGAAGTCTGCATCAAGAGACAGGTTCTAGTTCTGGCTCCAACCTTGACACTATTTGGTGACCTCTCTGGACCTCAGTGTCCCTGGTTCTGGAATGAGAGGTTAGGCTCAACCATCTCCATGGCTCTCTCAACTCTGACTCTGACGCAGGGGAGGAGGGAAAGGTGGTAGGGACACTGGGTCCCTGGCCTCCTTTCTGTGGACCTCTGTCCTCTAACTCAGCCCAGCAGCTCCCAGATTCCCAGGGGAAACCCCACACTCACTCTTCTTGCAGGAGGTGCATCTGCAGTCTTTGCATTTGCAGGAGCCGGCACAGCTGCAGGAGCCACCTGCAGGGAGAAAGACAGGCCGTGAGATGTGAGTGTGACGCAGGAGAGAATAGTCAATCAACAATCACTCCCTGTACCTCCTGTCAGACTCAACACTGGGAGCCCTCGACCCACTCAGGGCAGATGAGGACTAGCCCTGCCTTCTCTTTCAGTTCCGGAAGGTAGATCCCCTCCTGATTTTACCCTGCAAAGGGGAAGGGGGATCCCCAAGCTCCAGACACAACCCAGGCAGACTGGGGCTGCAGCCAGGATCTTATGGCCTGAACCCCAAACCGGCAATGTCCCCACCTCCCATCAAGTCCTGGCAGCTCCGAGGCCTGGACAGAGTCCAGCAGCCCTCTGACTCACTGAGTGACCTCGAGAAGGGCAGCCTGAAGCCTCAGTATCCTCAGCTCTAAAACAGAGGCAAAGGGAGGCTGGAAATGCTCTCAGGAGCTGGCTAGGAAGAAAGCTCTGGACAGAGGAGTCCGCTTGAGCTCAAGCTCAGAAAGCGTCCTCCTCCATCCCAAGACCACTCTGTCCTGTGCCTGGGAAAGGGGAATTCTGAGGCCCGAGCCGAGGGTCCTTACCAGTGGGGCAGGAGCAGTTGGGGTCCATTTCGAGTAGAGATGAGGCAGGAGGCCTAAAGCCAGAGGCGAAGAGGAACTGGTGCTGGCGAAACGCGTGGTGGCACCTAGGAGCCCGCGTGCCCGCTTTATAGCCGGAGGAGGCGGCCCGGGCGCAGAGGCCCCGCCCCGGCCCTTGCACCCCGCGGGACCGCATCCGTGCCGCTCGCAGCGCCCTTGGCCGGGCTGAGCGCACCTGGTGGGGCCGGGCGCATCATCCCCCTATCAGCGCGGAGCTCCGTGCGCTTGGCGCCGGGCCGCCGCTTTGGCGCCAGAACACGCGGAGAGGGGCTTGTGTGCCGTGCGGCACAGGGTGTCCCAGCCTCCCGGTTGGACCCTTCCCAATTTTCCCAAGGGGCAGCCACCCCTGTTCCCGGTGTTCGGGAGTCCTCGCCGTCTTCCCCCCGCCCCCCTCCACACACACAAACACACACGTGTCCGGCTTCCCATCCTCGCCCCACCCCGCCCCTTCCCGCGTCCTTGTCCTCCGCTTCGCCCTTTCCAGGAGCCCGTGTGCAAGCCCAGCCTTGTGCTCACGTCCCTGGCTTGACTGGTGGTGCCCGGGAGTTGTGTGCGCAGAGCGGAGGTGAATGTGTCCTTTACACACGGCCGCCGAGCATCGCTGTCCCTCCCATTTCTCCAATAAGCTGCAAGGGGCAGAGTACGGGCCCCTTCCCCGCTCCGTTCACCAGGGAAGGAATGAGTGGGCACTTGTCCTGGTGCTCAACTTTCCAGGGCTTTCCTCAGCCAAACCCGGTGGCCCCACTCCAGGTTGGAGGTTCCCAAAGCACCGGATGTCCCTGAAGGAGGGCGTCATTTTAGGTGTTAAGGCAACCTGGAATAAATAACAAGGAAGAAGGGTTATCTCCATTTCAGTATTCCTGACAATTACAAAACATTTAGCCTGTGCCAAGCCTTGGCTAATGACTTCCACTTTTGAAGCCCGAACAACAACTCTGAAGGGAAATACTAGAAGTACGCACACAAGGAGTTTATGTAACTAACCCATGGCCATGGTCCCCGTGCTGGGAAGAGGTGCCCTGGATCTGATTCCGGTCACCTCCCAGAGGAAGGAGAACGTCAGTGATGACCCTTCCTTTTGGCCCAGAGGTATGTCTTCACCACCTCTACTGTGCCACGTTCAATTCTGGGAATGACAGAATGACACATGCAAAAGGTATATGCGTATGTGTGCGTGTATATGCATGTATATGATTTGTGGCTACCTTATATGTCTGGAAATAAACCGATTCTCATTTTCAGTAAAGAGTTTACTTTTCACATAAATAGATTTAAGAAAATAGGGTTTAAAAAATGTTCAGTTAATGATGAGGTTGATGAGGACAACACAGGACACAGAGCTAGGCACACCAGGCCTGGCTTATTTGTCTGCAAGTAGAAAAATGTCTCCTATGCTATGAATGAAAAATAAAAATTCATACCTGATATTATAGATTACTCACAGGGCTCCTGGCATCATCGTTCTAAGTTCCTGGCGTGTATTAAATCATTCAAATCTAAGAGCCGGGTGCTATTATTTCTCTTTTTTCACAGTAGAGGAGTCTGAGCCACAGACAAGTAATGACACCCAGCTATCAGTGACACCAGAGCGATTGGCACTCACGCTGGCTGCCTGCAGCAGCATACCCTCGCCTGCCGCCCGGCACCATGACATCTCATGAAAGAGGAGGACACTGAACACCTGGCACAGAGGCAGCAGTGGGAAGAGCGCTGAGTGGCAGTCATGTCCCTGCGCACAGCCCCGTGACCTCTCTGGGCTTCGTTTTGCCATCTCTCAAGGCGGGAGCGCAACAGGACTATCTCGAAGGACCCTTCCAGCTCTGAATATTGAGAGGCAGGATGTAGCATGTGGTGATATCATGATTAGCCACCTGTGATGCGTAGGGGGTGAGACAGCGGTAGCATACATTCAGACCTCTACCAGCTGTGTGACTTTGGGTAGGTTGCTTAACCTCTCTGGAAAGCAGCACAATCACTCCAGCTCCTGGGCCTTCAGTCTCTCACCGGTTCCTGCGCACATCAAATGACATGAAGGGTGGGAAAGGCTTTCGTGCCTGTCCAAATTCTGTGGGAGCATCTTGTCCCAGCAGATTTATTGTAGATCGTCCACACTCCCCATGGCACTGAGTCAGCAAGGTTCTCAGGCCATCTCCAGCTTTCAACCCAGATTAATGCTTCAAAATCAATGAGCCTTTCTCCAGGAGCTCGTTAGGAGCTGAAAGGAACCAGTGTTGACATTGTGATCATATGGCCACAATTTATTAAGCTCTAGCCAGGAGCTGGGCCTGTGTCATTTGTTCCTCACATTGAGATGTAATCTCTTTCATATTAATGAAGAAATGGAGGCTCAGAGATTATCAAAAGTCCTGTCCAGGTCTCAGGGCCAGGAAGTGGCTGTGAACCAAGATACCTGATGCCAGGACCGATACCCTCGAGCACTGGCTAGCTTCTGAAATCCCTCTTCACACAGGGCACCTGTGGGCAAGTGTGGTCCTGACTCCAGGTCCATGTGACTTGTCTTTCTCTTTGATTTTACATCAAATAGCAACTCCCTCCACAAATAGCCAAGGGGCCTAACCGTTGCCATTAATTACAAGTCACTCCCGGCCTTTCTCCTGCCTAATAAACCCCACCATGCCCTCCCAGCTGCAGAACCGTCATCACCCGCACAGGCAGACATGATGTCCTTCAATGGAACCAATTCCCGGGTACATTCCTTCTTCCTGAGAAAAGCCAGGCAATCCCCTCCAAAGTGCTGGACACTCTGCCGATTTCAAGCGGCCACGGGCTAGATTTTGAAGGGGCAGACACCTGCCTGACCCAGCAAAAGACTTACCAAGGTTCAGAGGTAAGCCACAGCTAGGAGTTCCCAGGCGGAGCAGGTACCCTGTCAGTGACACCAGGTAAGCCAGGAGTGATGGCTCCCTGTGGGGATGTAGGGGGACACTGCTCTGCAAGGTTGTGCACCCCACACACTGGGGAGTTTGTGATTGTTCCCGGTGTTCAGTGGACACCTCCCATGAACAATGTGCAGCTTTTTAAAATTTTAAACATCTAGTTTTCTCGTTGGTTCTTCATGTATTTAAATTACGTGTGTTGAACCTCAAAATGGGTTCTGCATACTGTCCTTTCAAATTTTTCTTAATTTATTTTACCAAAGTTGATATCTGTGAATGTTAGAAACATTGAGATATGGTCCTCAGCACCAATGTTTTAGAAGTAAGCCTTTAGAGCATGTGTCCTAAGGCTCTTCCATGTGATAGAAGATGAAGCTCAGTGAGGTCACCTCCTTGCCTTAAGACACTCTGTTTGTACTAACATTTCCATGCAGAACCCAGCCCTCTGTGCTTCCAGTCCAATCTCCAACCCAGCCCTCCTGGACACAGAAATCCTTATTCCCGACGACGCACAGCAAAGAAACCAGGGTCAGAATAAAGGCAACAGCTTTTTATTATCCTTCACATATTTAGTGGAAAAGAGAATGTGGCAAACGGGTCAGTGCGGAATTTAAAAAAATGCAGGTTTGTACACGGTGCTCTATTTACATCAGGGAGCAGGCTCTCCCTGACGTCACGCACAGCAGCTGCACTTGTCCGATGCTCCCTTGCAGACACAGCCCTGGGCGCACCGGGCACAGCCCACGGGGCAGCAGGAGCAGCAGCCTGTGGAGAGTGGGGAAAATGAGAAGTCACAGATGACTTTACCGGACACCTGCCTCATCCCAGAGGACCGAGAGTACGGAAAAGCATGCTGTCTTGAGACACTGAGTAGGACCTTTGGGGTTTGGTTTTCACCAGAAGGCTAGCCTGCCCCCATCGGAGCCCAGGACAGGGCAGGAAGCCTGCAGTGGCAGTGACAGGATCCCAGGGACAAAGGAAGACAAAGCCCCAGAGACATCCACTGGCAACCAGCTCTGGGCTCCCTCCCTCGCCTTAGCCCAGCCCCCGGATTCCCAGAGAAGGCCCCGCACTCACTCTTCTTGCAGGAGGTGCATCTGCAGTCTTTGCATTTACAGGAGCCGGTGCAGCTGCAGGAGCCACCTGCAAGGAGGAGAAAGACAGGCAGTGAGATCTGAGTGTGATGTGGGAGACAGCAGTCCCCAAGTACGCTCCGCCAACCTCTTCCTCTGGAGAGGGCCCAGCCCTGGGAACTCCTGTCCCACGGAGAACAAGCCTAACCCTACCTTCCCTGCCCTTCTGCGGGAGAGGGCATTGCGTTCCCTTGTATTTATCCCACAGGGAGGGTCCCAGGCTCCATACTCAGCTCAGGAAGGCTGAGTCTGGAGGCCAGGATCTTATATCCTGAGCCCAGAAGAGGCAAAGTCCCCTGCCTCCCTCCCAGCACAGGCAAATTAGGACCTGGGCAGAGCACACAGGCCAGATCCAGCAGCGCCTCAACCACCCGGATGAGGTGGAGCAGGACGGCCCCTGGCCTCTGATTCAGGAGCTATTGAGAGGCTGGAAACGCTCAGACTGGGGATGAAGGTGCTTGGCCAGGGAGAAAGCACAGGACCTGCTATCTACAGGAGTCCACTTCAGCTGCAGCTCAAAATATTCTCTTCTCTAACCCCAGGGACACTGTGTGTTGGTGCCTAGGATAGGGACATCCTGAGGCCCAGAGCTGAGGGTCCTTACCAGTGGGGCAGGAGCAGTTGGGGTCCATTTCTGGCAGAAGTGAGGCGGGATGTCCGAAGCAAGAGGCGAAGAGGCGCTTGTGCTAGTTCAACGCGTGGTGGCGCCTAGGAGCCCGCGCGCTCACTTTATACCCGGAGGAGGCGGCCCGGGCGCAGAGGCCCTGCCCTGACCCTTGCACCCCGCCCGCGAAATCTGTGGCGCACTCAGGGTGGGTGGCAGCGCTGAGCGCACCTGGCGGGCCGGGCGCATCGTTCCCGCATCGCCTTTGACCTCGGTGCGCACCGCGCG